TAGTAACAAAAGTCAAAGAAAATATCGTGGTGCATTTTTTAGACCTCGCTGTTAAGTAACATTTTGAAAGTTTCGTTTTAACTGTTAAAATTCCTGACTAGACTGTGAAATTTCCTTACAATGTTTAGGTCTAACTTGTGGATAGTGGATAAAATCAGAGAAAACTTTGCGCCAGATCTCACAGACCCCAATTAATTTAAAATTACGAAAAAAATTGATTCCGCATCAAAAAATTTTATCTATTGAATATGTGCGTTTTGTATGTTATGTAACAATACTTGTGAGTTGAAAAAATTTGTTTTTATGCTTATTATTATTATTATTATTTGTATTATATACAGGTAAAAGGACAGTCATATCAAATTTTAAGTCGACATTATCTCAACTTATATGAATTGACGTCGGGTTTTGTTAACTTTCACAGATAAAAATTATCTTTTAGGGTCAGAGAAGGAAAAGCATTGTGTTTTCTTTCCCACATAGATAAGAGCTCTGGCCCACCCCTCACTGTAAAGGTCATTAACTGCAAATTGTTTTATTACTCTGTTTACAAAAAACAACTCTTATTAGTGAGAAGTGAATGAAATCACAATGTAATTGTGTATTGTAGTGCAAAAAATATTTTCTATAAGATTGAGCAAATACCTTCTTTAAGAGTTATTTCCTAATTTGTTTAATTATTTTTGAAATATAGTCACACGGTGTCAGAAATTTGATATCTTACTTCAAAATACACATACTGTAGCTCGAAATATTACAGACATCATCAAAAGTTGTTGCTGATTGTTTAAACAGGAATATTTTCTGTGTGAGAAATGAACTGATTCAAAAATAATAGGTAGACCACCAAAAACTGTGCAATTTACGACATGATGTCGAATACACGAGTTAAAAGTTTCATAATTCTAAAAAATGCTAATAATGTTAGAAAAAAAAACATTGTTCACGATAACTGAATGTTATTGTTAAGTAATAAAAAATTTACAATTTGCAAAGTTTCTGGGGTGCATATACTTTTATAAGCAAATTAATCCAAGAATACTGTAATTCTTCCATTCATGTATACAAACGAATTATGGCAATGTGATCAATCTGTATTCATATTTAGAAACAGTTTTTGGTATTCACGTTAGAACAGTTGACAGTTTTCGACAATTCCCATCATTCTGAAAATTATATAGGCTATCTCTGAATGAAAATTTTCATACTGAATTTAGCTTGATTCTTGATATTTTTCTTCTTTTCGTTAGATTTAGAACTCACCCCATACAATTTACAGAAGATCTAAAGCAGGCGTTCTTACAAATTGATCTCAATGACAAAGATAGAAATTACGCACGATTTTTCTTCGGCAAAGGTCCTGTGTGAAAAAATAACGATTTTAAGATTTTGCGTAAGATAGGAGTGCTGTTTCGAGAGAGATTAACCTATTTCTTACTTTTCGCTGCCCCCATCGCACGTTCGCATAAAAATTATAGTGAAAAATTTTAAAGACTTTTGAGGAGTTATATGGTGCTTTATACGTAGGTGATTTCATCAGTACAAGAGAGAGTGTCGCACAATCCCTTAAAAATAGTATAAAAAGTCGCAACATTTTGAACTTAAAAACTTTAAAACTAATTGCATTGGGCTGCGTGATAATTGAAAAGAGAAAAATCTATTCTCTGGTCACACAGACTCAAGATGTATGATGTTTGGAAGTGGACTGGAACGATTATTTTTCTATAACATTGAATGCAGTTTCCTATAGATAGTGTAACCAAATTAAAGTGCTGAATAATACGAGTGTAAGGACATTTTAACATTATAAAATGCTTTAGTCAAAACTAAATTTAAGTAAATTGTTTTTCTTACGCTTCGAAGAAAGCTTACAGAACCGTAATTTTCTTATGAATGGCGGTAAACAGTTAAGAGATGACAACTGACATTGTAGCATCGAAGAATATGGTTGCGCCATTAAAAAGTCTCTTATTACTTCGACTCAAACTTATGATAGCACTTAACAATATGTAAATTTTTCCTTAACAATATGTAAAAAAAATTACATATTGTTAAGGAAAAAAGGACATTGAGGCAATTTAATCATGATAGCACTATTGACTGCTCAATTGTGTAGTAGGATTTCGAAAGCTATTAAATTTTTAAGTACTCGATCTTTTGCACAGACTCCGTCATTATTTATTTGATTCAACCTTCCACCGGTAGATTTAAAGTATTCCTTAGAAATAGAACTAAGCAGCCCTATCTACTGGGCTCATAGTCCTCTAGAGGACAGTCCCGCTGATATGTCACTTGAATCCTGTTTAGAATTTTAGTGCTAGTGAGTATTGGAATTTTATTCTACCAGCCTCAATGCATTTCGCCTGCTTTCCGAAGCAAAATTAAAATCGATAAGGTACATATTCTTAAAAGTAACAGAATCAAGTATCTTGAATTCTGAAGAATTGACTACACATAACTCAAACAGAAGCTGTATTGAACACTTGTCCTTTATCTGTTTTTAAATACTGAAACTGCTAATCTTCAGCCACTGGTTCTTAGAGAGTGTGGTTATTGCTCCCTTTTGTCAATTCTCGAGCGTAGCACCAAAATTGGATTTGCCAATTAAATTATAACGAAGAATACGAAGTAATATTTGTCTTTACGATACGCCGTTTTAGTAAACATTGACAATTGAAAAAACAAAAATATTTAATCACTTTTTTGTATTTTTCACTATAATTTTATTGTGTAAATTTCCGTTACCCACTCTAAATAAAAGGGATTTTCCACATTTCTAGACACTGATATTGATTCAAATTTTCAAGGCCAGGTTCTACCTGTAGTGGATCTCTGGGTATTTTAACGAGTTACGAAATTAAGTGGAATAGCACCTATTGAATTTTAAAAAGTTTACCTCGTATTATTGAAAGACACAAGCATTATTGTTAAAAGTTTGTCTTTGACAAAAAGTGAATGCGCCGCTTCCCTCGTATTTTCTAAAAAATAAATACGTATTAATTTTAATTATACCAAAATAATCGCACAATATTTTATTATAACCGCATTATTTCAAATTTCTTTAGTACATGTGAAAAAAAATAAGATTGCTATTGTATATTCGGATATTAGTGGCGGAGTGGAATCGCTGTATTGTCAGAATCCAAAAAGCCAGATTCGTGCATGCGCTTTACAGAGCACCAACCTCACCCAGTTTAGCCGGTGAAAGCCTAGGACCTTGGATGGATGCAACACGTATAAGGCATCCAATTCTATCCGGGACCGGTTCTGAACTGTTAGCCACCCACCTGCTAGATATCTGTCCGCCCTCAACCGATTACACAAATCACGAGTAGATTTATAACTTAACCCAACCGATAAGAATTTACTGGTATGTTTTTACAATAGTTCTGTATAGTTGACAGGAGTTTTAAAAAATCTTTTAAAATATTCGATATTTTTATTTTGCTTTCCGATTTCATATTTCTCACCGATTTCAACGTTAAACCGGTGATATTACGATTTCGTACGTCCCATCTTTAAGGAGATGTACAAAAAACGTGTTGCAAATATAAATATACAACATATAAATTAAAAAAACCAACTTTTTAAAGCATGAATATAAAACAAATGAATAAATTACAATTTTTTTTAAAATATNATGTCTAAATTGTGTAAGATAAAAATGTATGCGATTGAAATTAAATTGTTATATGATAGAGCACTGGCATATCTACTATGAAAATAATGGATTGTCTTCAAGCATGTATTTTTTCTCTATACTTTAGAGTGATTTGTTATGGATGTTTGCTGGTTTTGGAGTAACCTCATTATTACAGTCAATGTTCCAAGTGTATCGAAAGGAGATGTTCGATGTTCCAAGTGTAGGAAGGGATTCACATTGAGCAATTTTGTGATACTGCTACATGTGATTTATAATGTATCCAATTATAGTACTTAGTTAATTTATACTTATATTACATAAAGTCACTAAATAATTTTTTTACATCTATTTATGCTATTGCTTTTGCACTGTTGTGAGGCTACAATTTTACATAATATTGTATTAGAGAGTAACATTGAAACACTTATAATTTAGGTCAGATAACGAACTAATTAACTGAAGTATTTCTTAGACACAGGTTTTGACTTATACTATTTATATTTTAATTTAACTACCAAACACTAGTAGTTGTTCATAGATTCGAATCGAATGTATACACAAATTAATTGAAATATATTAATAGAAGTTTAATCAATATTTTGTAATAGTATATATGACATTATCTAATTAGAAGTATGTTAATTTAACTGCCGCGTTTCATAGCAATTTGTCCAATTGCTTATGTCTGCTTCGTAAATAAATATTCCTTTATATATACGTATAAGTAAAAGATACTTACCAAAAGAAAGATCGAAAAAATTTCTTTAATTTAGAGAACTTTCCCTTTTTTGGTGCATGATCAGTTGACCCATTGTCATGCACATTTGATGTCATATTCTCGATTATTTTACTGTATGAAAATGAAAATGTAAATATATTGAAAACTATTGATAACATGTATTTATCATTCATAATTAAATATTAAAATACTAACATAGAATTGAACGTTTGAATGGCAGAAGGAATCGACTTTTTTGCACGATTGAAAATGTTATATGTCAAACATTATTACACAATGAACGTTATTGATTTATAGCCTTTCAGATAGAGATATTCGGTAGATAACAGAATTATGTTACATTGATTTATGTTTTTTTTTAATGAAACAGCATCTCATAAGCTGATACTACCTTTTTCCTCAAAGCCTCTGTCGATTTTATTAACGTAACACTTTCATTTATGGTAACAATGTTGAAAGTATTGTTTAACATTTTCATCATACAGTGCCACTTAAAACATTTTAAAAGTTCGACATTAATATAATATGCTTTCTACTGTAAGAAAAAAAAGCCTGTACAGCTTGCTCTGGATTCTTCAAAACAGAAAAGATGTAATGCAAATACATAATGTATTAAGTCAACTTAATTTGCAAAAACCAAATAAAAATGCTTATCTTACAACTTAACAGTTGTAAAGAATTCTATCTGAAACAAATCTAGTCATACAATTTAGGAATATATGTAATTGTCTGTGATAAGGACAATGCTATATTTTTCTAGTAAGGCGAAAATAGTGGAAATATAAAAAAATTAAACTTGTATGCTAACTGCTAAGGATCAAAGATATAGATAATTTAATAATATAGATTCGTATGTCGCACAAAACAAGAATTTTCAGTTTATTTGTCTTCTTCAGAATCTGTTAAGAAATGATAATGTTAAATTTATAGATCATTAATTACTGAAGATAGGTCACAACTATCTACATTCAGACAAACTTTTAATAAATAGAAAATGTTTTGTAAAAATATGAAAACATTTCAACTTTAACAGATATTAAATACTTAAATTTACCAAACGTAATATTGTATTAATTAAATCTTTAGATCTTTCTCTTCAATTTCAACATCAATATATTTCAAATTCAAGAAAAAATAATGATCATTATCAAAATCGAATTTAACACCAATAAGGAACTGACACTTTATCATTAAAATATAAAAGAAATAGCAAAATTTAATTATAATTAGATCTATCATTTTATTAGTTTTCTATAACTACATAAAATACTTACAATTAAATGTTAATTTTATTGTGAAAAAATAAATAACATTCTTTATTTAATGTTAGTGAATATATAAAGATTAAATATTATAAATATTAATTTTTTTAATAAATTATGTATTTATATTTATCTATAATATATTAAAATTATTTCATTTTCATAATATTAAAAGAATACAGAATGTGAGATATAAATATGTATTAAATAAATATGAAAATCTTACATATTAGAATTCTCTTTAATAACTTTCTCAACTGACTCATCACAAGATATATTTTCGCATTTATTGGAACAAAAGTAGTCATCGTTATTTAAATTCTGTTGCGAGTTACAATCGTCGTTGAAACAATCCTCTCTAAGATCGATAACAATGTCCGGATAACCCGCTTCTTGGTATCCTTCTATGTCCCAACTCAATAAACTATCTCGATAACTTCGGATTTCTGAAAAGGACAACAAAAAATGAATTAAAATACGTATTGCATACGTATATACGTATGATTTTTATATTTAATCTTACCTGTTTTCACAGTCGTTCATAGCTTGCGATTCGACTTTCTGAGCACTCGATATCTGATGATTTTCATTCTCATCGCAACGAAAGAAAAGATTTTGTTTATAATCCTGTTGCGAATTAAAATCGCTGTAGCCAAAATATTCCTCAGAAAGACCGAGAACAATTTCCATGTAATTTGATTCTCGGTAAGATTCCAAATCCCAAGTCAAGAAATCATCTTCATCTTGATTATCATAATCTGTTGGGCTGAGGTTGGGAGGATGAAGTTGCTTTTCACACATATATTTTAAATACCTAGAAATGAGAGTAGAAAATGAGATAAAATACGTATTACGTATGTATATACGTATGATTTTTATATTTACTCTTTTTTGCCTGTTGTGACAAATGTTAACAGCTTGCAGCTGAAATTTCTGAGCACGCGAGACATAATGATTTTCATATTCGTGGCAACAACAGTAAACATCTTTCTTATCAACATTTTGCAAGTTAGAATCGAAATAATCCTCAGCAAAATCGATGACAATTTTTGTATAATCTATATCTTGATAACTTTCAATATCCCAACTCGAGGAATCATCCTCATCATCAGAATCAGTTGAAAATTTCATGCTGAGGTCAGGAGGATGAAGTTCTTTCTCAGACATCACGAACTCTGGATTTCTATCCACATTTTCATGCCCATATGCTTTTTTTCATAACTCTCTCCATTCTAAAATCTGAGAAAAAAACAATTCGTAAATTAATTGGGTGTACGCGTCAGGGAATAATGAAGCGAATATTTTTCACAGATTTATGCTCATTATTATTTACATTCGCTAACGCAATAAAATATATTTTATTCCAAATCAGTTTAAAATATGAAAATTAATCTTAAAATTAATTTCTTATTCTAGTTTTTCGCTGTTAATTAAGTTTAAGAACCTTATGATTACCAATCGACAAATTTCCCTTTCGGAAATTCCCCTTTTTATAAAAATACTAGCTGTTACCCGCGACTTCGTCAGCGGAGGTTTTGCAAGCAAACCCCATTTACATCCAATATTTCAATAACCATAGTAATNATATATTTAGATTTGTACAATATATTCTGTAGTCTGTCAAAATATTATTTACATTAATTTTTATCATACTTTTCTTCGAGAAATTACGCACAAACTATCGTAAACGTCTTTTTCGTTCGAAAAATACTACTCGACAAAGTAACTCGAACAATGGAAAATCTATTGTTGCAAAAATTCTTGCGTTACCGCGTGACGTTTAAGCTGTCGTAGTGAAAATACATATAGTTTTTAAAGTATCCGATGCATATTTATCTATTACTGTTTCAACGAAATTATTACAAGTGTTGAACATTAATTGCTCTGCATTATAGAAAAGTAATATTTAAACACTGTTCATGAATATATTATTAATGCATAAGCATATGTTTATATTTATGAATAAGCTGCTCTTGTTTCTTCTTCTTTTGCAACAATTTAAAAAATGTTTAGTTTTAAATTGAAGTAAAAATTTGAAACAAAAATTTTAATCTGTAAACTAATTTTTTGGCAATATTTAGCTGTAACTATAATTATAGTTACTATAATTACAATTACTCTACTGCTGTTTGTGATTAAAAATGTATCTTCGGAAATTTTTAAAGATTGTTAACAGTTTTAATATAATATGATATACGCTTATTTTAAAGATAATGTAGAAAAAACTTCCTTTGATTATATGATAAAAATATTTATATGTTAAATGATATGGTGTATTTATGTTTATTGATTAAGTATTTGTGAATAATGTAAAAAAAAACCAGAAGTGTCATATTAGCGTTGCAAAAGTATTTGTAAGAAAAAATTGTGTAAAATCTTTTTTTTTTTTGGTATGATAGAATAGTTTTTATGTCAAAAGATATAATCTGCACTGGATAAATTGTTACATTAATGAGTGTTCTAATTTTTTTAGTATATCACTGAAGAGGGGCTTAAAGAAGGCCTTGCATTTTTCATTTTTCAAATTAGTTGCAGCTGCTTCTCTCAGGGACATTTTTTACCTAACCTAATTTAACCTAAATATAACCTAAACTTAACTTAACCTAATGGAACATTAATAATATAACCAAATATTCGATCTTTCACCGAAGGTCTTTCGTATGTGTCGACATTTACCTTGACATTTTCTAATTTCGGTGTTTTATGATGACATGAACATATTGTTATATACATTCACTAATGAAAATATACATACATCGCACCCTGTATCCCTATGTTATTTTAGTACATTTTATGGCATTTTAAATATTATATGGGTATAGAGAAATTCGATCCAGAAATTATGCATTGTCATTATTTGCAATCAAAAATCTTCATTAAATTTGGCATAGATAATAAAATCATTTGTTTTGTGTTATTTATTAGACATTATTTTTCTATCGAAGTGTGCTTCAGAATTAGTATGGTTTTTATTCAATAACTTTTCAAAAAATGGTTCAGGAACAGTCGCGGTTATCATTGTTTTGAATTTCAGTAAAATGTGTAAATGATATTTCTCAAACAGAAGGCAATTTTTAAATCGAAAAATTAACCATATTGTATGTTCCACGATACTTGCTACCTACTTTCGCCGTTTGTAGTGCATTTGGGTATTTTCTAAGTAAATACTTTCTATGTACAGTAGAGCGTCGATTATCCGAAATGTCAATTATCTGAAAGAATTCCAGTCGGCAAATTTAAATTTTTGCCAGTGCTGTAGCGATGCAATCTTTGCATATGTCTTGGGCTACTCAAATATTTTACGTTTTTGATACTAAATTAACTTATGAAGTATAATTTTTTATTGTTTTTATATTTTTCAATATATTTATTTTGTTTGTACAAAATAAAAAAACAATTTTTAATGATACAATAGTCTTCGTTAGGCTTAACATCGACGAAAATTCAACGCGAAGAGACACGCAACAGAGAAAAGTTTCAACGTGGGATAAATTAATACATTTTTTGTACATAATCCGTTATCTGAAATACCGATTTTCCGAACAAACCCAGTCCCCAATTTATTCGGATAATCGACGCTCTATTGTATTTTTTTTTTTTTTTTTTCATGTACGAAAATGACGACATTAAAATTTTGGTTAAGCTTGCACTGCTATGTTTTTTTGTTTCCATCAGCAGTAAATACGCGTAATTAATCTGTGTTCGTATAGACATGAAGAAATACTTAAGAAAAAATCTTTAATCCGAATCTTCGGGAAAATAAACTGAATTAAGACCGTATGTTTCGTTCATAACACAGTAAACAGTTATTTATTTTTTATCTGATTCGATTCAGAGTTTATTAATCTGCCCCTCTGACAGACTCTGGATTGAATTTAAGAGATGAACCCCAGAAATAATACATATGGTTCTGACACAAATATAGTAAGAGATAGACTCTGTCTCTTACTATTTGACTTTCGTCGTACATTTGACAAATCCATTGTGAACAGGGGTATCGTTTCAACTAAGAAAAATATGGAAGACTCCATAACTCACTTTTCGAAGGTATGGAATTTCATACCTCTGTATATTGAAAAAATTATTTATAATTTAGTGCAAGGCAAGCCAAGGCACTTACTCTCTGTATGAAAACAAATTTTTCTTGGATTTTGACTAATGGAACTCTTACATAATCCAAAGAATCAAAGTTTTTTAACTCTAAGCAATGCATCACCATTTTGTTAAAGCAAGGTCCCGCTGTCACAAAATTCCATACCTCAACATTTAAAAAACTGACACCCATGATTGTGAATACTACTGAAAAGTCATATTGGTGCTCAGATACAAAAAAAAGCATAAACTGAAATATGTCAATGTAACTTAAACTTAAGACATACGATATTAGTGTATTGCACTCATGAGCGTATTTGTTTTCTGTTTCTGAAGGTTTTTCCCGAGTAAAGCTGAACAGCATGCGTAGTAAAAACTGTTATAACGCTTTCTGCTCGATATTCGCATATTTATCATAAGTTTCTTTTTCACTTTATCTACTCTATATGCACCATTGAAAAAACCTTTTCTAACAAGCCCGTGAGTGGTTCAACTAAGTACGAAATGATATTGATTTGATTACGGAAGTCTCTGAGATTAATAAAAACGTGATATAGAATAATTTTTATACATTTATGGTGTAAATTATTAACTATCTTAAACAAAATTGTTAATACGGTAATTTTATATGCTATAATTGTATTCACATTAAGGTTCTTATGTATCTTTGTTTCGTACTTCACTTTATATGGATAAAATTTAGGCTACAACTTTCCAGGTTGACACAATGAAGCAGAAGTTCTGAATCACACAGGATAACCTAAAATTACATGTTCGATCTGTGCTTACGATTTACAACATGTTCTCTTCAACTTTAACAACAGAAAAGGCATTTATTCGCGTATCAACAGGATGTGTCTAAAACCAGAATATCGGTGCATATTGTAACCTGATCATTACAATTTCAAAGTATTTTTGTCTCTATACTTTGTAACACGACATTTCTGTGACTACTGCTTTTTGATTAAGTCGGTACGGTATGTTACCTGAAAATAATCTTTTTGATTTATGTTTAAAAATATAGTAGTTTGATACGTTATTTATATAAGAATTGATACTCACTAAATAGTCATATCGTACCATTATAATCTGCCATTACTGCTGCCATAATTGCCAGTTTATTAAAGTCATACAGTACCATTATAATCTGTGATTAGTATTTAAAAATCATATTAATATAAACATTTTAATTTTTATTGAAATAAAAATGAATTTTGTTAAATGTAAAGAGCAGTAATTGCTTTTTCATACACTAAAAGATATATTGGGTTATTTATTAATTAATACGGAACTTGAACTGTATTTTCGACTTTGTACTTTTTACATGCGTAGTTTATGTTATATAGCTTCAAATAATCTTATTATTAGTTTTTCTTTTACCCACTTTTAGAAATGTAGTCATAAATTAAAAATTGCCAGGGCTATAACTTTTGTCCTTGTGTTTTAATCGTTACAGTCTACGGAAATTTTGTGGGCATAATAAAAATTTTTACTGTATTATCTGCAATTAGACATAAATATGCTTTAAATATTCTGTATATACGTAATCAGCGCAAAACCAGCAGGAAGTAATTTTTTCAGTGTTTTGGCCGAAAAACGCAGTTGATCCAACCTTGATGTTTTGAAAGTACAAGAACTAAGTCCTAATTACATAAACCGGCAACAACCTTGTTTAACTTTTCCTGACAACATTTAAAATTTTTATGGCGCGATCCGTTACTATGTTTTATTTTAAAACATATTTTTTTTTAACTATTATGAAATAGAAAAGGCTTATTCTTTTAAGGTAAAAATGTTGCGTACTAATTTTAGCATTCGAAAAGATTATTATCCATGACTTGCGTGTATAAATGTAATTAAGATTATATAAAATACCCATTTTCTATTAATAGCACTAAATGATCAACAGTTTTAACGTTACTAAAATTTATTATCCATTAAATCTAGTCTTTCGAGTTTGTGCAGAGAATAAATGCATTAGTATATTACACATCTATAACCATTATAAACTTTTAAAGTAAGTGGATAAGTCCATTAAAGGGTTTTAAAGTAAGTCAATATCAGGTAGTTAGATAATGGCAAAGTAAAAGCGTTTTATCTTTACGTTCATTGCGAAATTAAGATAGGAAATTTATAAACCTGAGCACGAATATACTCCATCATTTTTACAGAAGAACCGAAAAAGTAATAACAGCAATCAGTAAAATAATCTAACATGCCATTGTCTTCAGATAAATTTTTTTGCTTGGCGTATATCTTATTCCCAATATTAAATTCAGCAAAATTATTTGGTTTACACATCTTCATCCCTTGTCAGTGCATCAAGCAGGAAACTGAAGAACGAAGAACGAACATTTTGTCATTTTTATATAATATTTATAATAGTTTAGTTCAAACATTTCTTTGGACTGTAGCATTTTTGTGCTTAATAAGAATTTACGAACCCGATATTTACGCTTTACGAGTACTTCGCATATTTAATGACTACGCATTATCTGCAGCAGTAATAACATTTATTCTTATAGAATACGTTGCTGGACAATTTACACTATTAAAACGGAATAAACTTTCATTTCATTGTGTGAAAAGCAGTTACTATGAAGAACTGCAGAATGTCAGCGCGCTGAATAAATATTTAT